GGTTGGGGGTTGGGTAGATGGGCTGCATTTTGTCTTTTGTTATGGGCTGATGTTGGTGGAGTGGGTTGTGTGGTAGCCTTGTATCACCATGGGAGTGCGTTGTATCCTTCCAGCCATGGGTCCCATACTTTATGAAATGAGTTTGGGGTGTCATGGACCTGTGCTGTCAGCTTATCCATGGCTATGTTGTCAGTTATTTTAGTGTTTATTTGGGGTTGAGTGGGTATGTGTGGTGTGGACCAAGTTTCCGCTATAGCTCTGCGTGTGGCCAGTGCTATTCTAGCTATGAGTTTGTTTTCATTGCGGGTGAAGGTATCAATGGGCTTAGAGAGTAGGAGGGCCCAGGGGTCCAGGGGTATTGGCTTGTTAAGGATTCTGGTTAAGAGTGTTGTAATTGTTTTCCATAGAGGAGTGAGTTTGGGGCATGTCCACCAGCAGTGGAGGAAAGTGCCGGTTTCGCCACACAATTTCCAGCAAAGGTTATTGGGTAATCGGTTCATTGCCTTCAGGCGGAGGGGGGTGAGGTACCACCTAAAGAGCATTTTGTAAGCTTGCTCTTTGTGGGTGACACAGATTGATATGGATTTTATGGATGCCCATATGTCTGCCCATTCGGTGGGATCCTCAAGAGGTCCCAGGTCGTTTTCCCATGCTGCTATGTAAGGAAGGGCCACCTGAGTGTGGTGTGTGGTTAATGTTATGTATAGGTTTGAAATTTGGCTCTTTCTGGCTGGAGAGCGGAGGGTATCCCTCTCAAACTCAGTTAGGGTCGAGGTGGCTGCCATGCGTACCGTATCCGTTGCTGCAAAGCTTCGGAGTTGGAGATATCGAAAGTAGTCGTAGGTGGTTAGGGATTCAGGGTTGGGGATTTCTGAGTATTGTAGGAGCTTACCATTGGGGTAGAGATGTCCTAGTCGGACTATGTCTCTGTCCTCGAAGTGGGCGTAGTGTCTTGGTGTGAGGCCTGGTGGGAACATTTTGTTGCGGAGAATCGGTGTGAGGGGCGATAGGCCCGTGGAGAGATCAAACTTATCGCTGAGGCGATCCCAGAGATCTAGGGAGTGAGTGATCGTTGGTGACGTGGGTGGTGGCAGTGGTCTGTATGGTTTTGGGGTCCACATATATTGGGAGGGATGGTCCCAGCCGAAGATGAGGTGTTCCAGGTCTACCCATCGTTTGTGGGCAGGGGGGAGGTGCCAGTGCTGTATTTGTGTTAGGTGTGCGGCGTGTAGGTAGTGTGTGAGATTAGGGAGGCCTAGCCCTCCGGAAGGCTTGGGTACGTATAGTGTGGATCTGCGGACTCGGGGTCTCATTCCATTCCAGATGTATCGGTCTATGGCTGTTTGCAAGTGTTTGAGGTCTGATTTTTTACAGGGGATGGGAAGCGCTTGGAAGGCATAAAGGAATTTAGGTAGGAGATTCATTTTGACCGACGCTATTCTTCCGAGCCAGGAGATGGACATCGGTTTCCAGCGTTCTAGGTCCGAGTACGCTTTGTGCAGGAGGGGGGGATAGTTGGCAGTGTATAGAGTGGTGGTGTCGTTGGTGATTTGGATACCTAGGTATGTGATCTCTGTTGGGCAGATATGGAAGGGGAAGTTACTTCTCAAGGTGGAGGTAGTGATATTGTTGAGGTTTAGCGGCATGAGGTCTGATTTTGTGGCATTTAATTGATATCCTGAAATCGTTGAGTATTCTTGTAGGGTTGACATTAGGGCCTCTAGGGTTGGGAGGGGGGTAGTTAGGGTTAGGAGGATGTCGTCTGCGTATGCAGCGACGGTGAATGTTTCGTCCCTTATCCTGATTCCCTCGATTTGTGGGTTGATCCGTATGGCCTCTAGGAGGGGTTCGAGGGAAATGGCGAATAAGAGGGGGGAGAGGGGGCATCCTTGACGGGTGCCGTTTAGTATCGGAAAGGAGGGGGGGGTGATGTTGGGGATTAGAAGTTGGGCAGTAGGCGTATGATACATGGCTTTCAGGAATTGGGTAAATTCTGGCGGGAATCCGAATTTATGGAGTACTGCATAAAGGTAGGGCCAGAGGAGGCGATCAAACGCCTTTTCGGCGTCCAGGGATAGTATGATCGCTGGGAGGCGTTTTTGGTTGGCGTACCATATTAGGTCAATGGTTCTCCGCGTGTTGTCTTGTGCTTGTCTTTGTGGTATGAAGCCTACCTGGTCCGGATTAATGAGTTTCGGTAGGTAGGGGTTAAGTCTAGTTGTCATGACTTTGGTCAGTATTTTTAGGTCAATGTTTAGGAGGGAAATGGGGCGGTAGTGGCCTGGTTCGTCGTGGGGTTTTCCTGGTTTGGGTAAGAGAGTGATGTTAGCTTGTGTCATGTCAGCGGGTAGTGGCTCCCCTTGTAGCATCGCATTAAAGACTTTGCTTAGTCTGGGTGTAAGTATGTCCCCGAAGGATTTATAGTAGATGGCCGTTAACCCGTCGGGGCCTGGGCTTTTATTAGGTTTCAGGGTCTTTATTGCCGCTATTATTTCCTCTGGAGAGATGTCTGCTGCTATCCTCGATCTGGCGTCTTCGGTGAGGGAGGGGAGGGAGAGCCTCCTAAGGAGGTTATCCGTTTGGGATTGGATCAATTCTGTTGGGGGTTCTGGGGTATGGTTGTATAGAGAGGTGAAGTAGTGTCGGAAGACTTCCCCTATCGTGTGTGGTATGTCGCTCATCGCACCGTTTGAAGTGCGGATTTTTGTGATACGCTTTGTTTCGGTCAAGTTTTTGAGGCGCTTTGCTAGCATGGAGTCTGCTTTATTGCTTTTCTCGTAGTATTTTTGTTTGGTCCATGCTAGAGCTTTAGTGGTAGCTGCAAGAGAGAGGCTTTTGAGCAGGGACCTGGCTGTTGTGAGTTGTTCAAGGTGTAAAGGGGTCGGGTTGCGTTTGTGGAGGGTTTCTAGTCGGCCTATTTCGGTTATGGTTTCCATTAATAGTTTGTTGTGTTGTTTTTTACGTGCAGTCGCTAGAGCTATCAATTTGCCCCTTATTACCGGTTTATGGGCCGCCCATAACGTGATTGTGGAGGATACAGAGGGGTCATTTAGGGTGAAGTATTCTGTGATGTCTTTTGCAATGGATATGGTCACTAGTTTGTCTTGAAGAAGTTGTGAGTTGAGTTTCCATGTCCATGGGCGTAACATGTTTGGGATGGAGAGGGTTAGGGAGATGTCGGCATGATCCGACCAGGTGATGTGACCAATGGATGTGTGTGTGATTCGCGAGGTGACGTTTGGAGAAACCAGAAAGTAGTCAATGCGGGAGTAGGTGTTGTGGGGGTGGGAGTAGTATGTGAAGTCTAGGGTTGACGGGTGTTGGGCTCTCCAGATGTCTAATAGGGTGTGTGTATTTAGAAAATTGGAGAAGAGGGTGTCGTTTACGGAGGATCGTGGTTCATTCCGGGGCCTGGCAGTGCGGTCCAGGGTTGGTTGATGTGTGGCATTGCAGTCACCGCCTATGATGGTGAATGTGGCACTGTGTGCTGTTAGGTGGGCGGAGAATGTTTGCCAGAACAGTGGTTCAGGGGTTGTAGGGGCGTATAGGGAGGAGATGGAGTAGGTCGTGGGGCCTATTCTGCCGGTGAGTGTGAGGTATCCCCCGTGTTTGTCCGGGAAGGCCTGGATGTCGGTCAGTGGGCATGATGATTTGAGTATGATGGCCACCCCTTTGGTTTTTGCGTCCGGCGAGTTAGCGAGGAAGGTGCGGTTGTAGTGTTTGTTCTTGAGTGGGAAGTGTTTATGGGGGGTGAAGTGGGTTTCTTGGATCATAAGGATGTCCGCTTTTTGGCCGTGAGCCCAGCGTAGAAGGGAGTGTCGTTTTTTAGGGTTATTGAGGCCTTTAGCGTTTATGGAGACACAATGTAGATTAAGTGGCATGGTACGGGTTATGTCGGTCGTAGAGCGTGACTTGTGGAAGAGGGGTACTATGGTCAAGAGGGGGTTTTGGAGCCCAGGTGGTCCCCAGAGGGCAGCGTTGGGACTTAGTGGGGCGGGTGAAGTGGGGTAGAGGGTGGGTTTGCTGGGCTTACTACGGTTGCCAGCAAGGGTGGACTGTGTTGTCCGCGGTCTCTCGGGCCTGGAGGGTCCAAGGCCGGCGGTACTGGTCTAGTCACGGGGGGAGAGGTGGTCGTCTACTTCAGGGCATGTGGCAGGCAATTTTCTGTTTCGTTTGGGCAGTCGTAACTTATAACAGAACTTAGGTGGGGTCAACTTAGGATGCAACAGGTGGGAGTCAGGTTTTCCCCCGATCCCTGCCTCCTCCCTCCAAGTGTCCAGGGCCGGAGGGGGGTGAGGGCATGGGGTTAGGTGATGTTGAGGAGTAGGTGGGGGCTGATCTCCTGAGTCCTGCTTGAACTATTTACATGTCGAGCCGCACCCCTTATCGTCTTTTAGGTCTTGTTGAGTGGTGTGTTAGTAATTCTGTTGGTGTGGGTGTTGTTAGTGTGGTGCATGGGTCGGGCTCCAGTAAGTGTGGTCCCTCTATGGGATATCGTCTGGCACAGCAAGAGTGGTTATGAGCTATGGGTTTTCAGCATGCACTTTCCTCCGGCTGTGGAGCCGTCACGGCCCGCCACCCCCCCCGCCCCAATGAGGGGGGGGGGGAAGGCCGCCAGGGCCCCAGGCCGTCCGCTCCCTCCCGCAACTCGTCCCCAGATGTTGGGCGCTCCCCTTGTGTGTAGCGACAATACTCGAGGACAATGCTTCATCTTGTATTCCCCTGGGGCCTCCCCCCTCCACGGAGCCAGGACCGCCGGGCCCCCACCGCCAGGGGAAGGGAGCGGAAGGCCACCGGGGCCGCCCACCCCCCCCCAGGCGCGGGGCCCAAGGCGCCCCCAACCCCGCGGCCGTCGTCAAGCTAAGGGACCAGTCCCGAGCGCCTCCTAGGGTGCACTCCTTCCCCGGGGTCCGGGGCCCCCAACAGTCCCCCCTCCCCACTGCCCTTCCCCGCACCCAGGCCCAGAGTGTCCCATTGTGGGTCTTACTGTGCGCCCAGTGTCAGTTGAGTTCATGTGGCACTTCATCTTGTGAGCTGGGGAGTGAACAACCCTCGGGGGGAGTCCTCTCCCGGTGCTGCCGAGGGGAGCGGTGCAGCATTCCGGCTTGCCACGTGGTCTTGCCGGAGGGCAACAGGTCCAGGGTCAGGCGGAGGGGAGCCCGGTGGTGAACTGTGCCAGCGGTGGGCGCGATCATTGAGGTCTGCAGATCTCCGGTATCACCCCGGCCCCTTAGAGGCAGTCCATGCACTGCTGGTGTGTTGATTCGGTTGTCATCTGGTGCCGGGGTGCCGGAATATGCTGTGGTGTAGATCTTGTGGGTCGTGGATGAAGTAGGGGTGCGGTCACGGCTCCAGTCGTTGGGTTTAGGCGTAGGTCTGTGAAGAGCGTTGTCCTCTGGTGCGGTCTCTTTGAGGCTGCGGGTCCCACGGTCGGCGTTGTGGCATAGGCTGTTGTGATGCTGTGTGCAGTGCTCCGTTGAGGTCGCTGATGCCTAGTTGTGCAGCAAAGTCTCGGGCCTCCGACGGTTTAGTTAGCGTGAAAGTGCGGTTGTTGTGTCGCACCATTAGCTTAAAGGGATGACCCCAGGAGTAGCGTATCCCCAGTGCTTGTAAGGCTTGGGTCAAGGGTTTCAGCTCCCTCCGTTTTCGTAGGGTGGTGGGTGCTAGGTCATGATAGAGTTGTACTGTATGACCTTCTATTTGTAGTGGGGTCTCCCTTGTCGCCCGCATTATCGCTTCCTTTATGTGGAAGTAATGACAGCGGATGATGATGTCTCGAGGCTGTGTGGGGCTCGAGGAGGGCGGTCGGAGGGCCCTATGGGCTCTGTCTAGGAGGAGGTCTGATGGTAGGGCGTCAGGAAGCAGGCTGCTGAAGGCTTCATGGAGTATGGCAGTGAGTGCTTCGGGCGTTGAGGGTTCTGGTAACCCCCTGATGCGGATATTATTACGCCTGGACCTGTTATTGAGATCTTCTTGCATGTCTTCTAGGTATGTGAATTGCTCCTGTAGCTCTTTTATGGAGGCTTCGTGGGTGGAGGTGGTGGCTGTTACCTCCTCCATTTTGTTTTCTAGCGCTTGCGTCCGCTTGGTGAGGTCTGTGAGTCCTTCCTTGAGTGGGGCCAGGTGTTTTGTCAGCTCCTCTGCCACCAGTGATTTCATCTCTGTCAGCATGTCCTTCAGGTCTCTTTTAGTGAGGGGTGCTGATGGTGCATCCACTTTGTGGCTGGTTGTGCTGGTCTCAGAGTCGGAGTCTGAGGCCTGCTGGCTAAGCATGCCTGGCGCCTCTTTGTCCGGCCTGGGTTTGAAGATGGGAGCCACGGCCGTTCCGGACTTTGATTTCCTCCCCCCGCCCATACTGTTGCGGTCCGGAGTGGTGGGTGGTTGGTGTGCTCGGTCTGATGCTAATTTTAGCGGGCTTAGTCGCCCCTGGTGAGAGCTTTACTTTTTTGCCGCCACGGAGCTCCCTCAGTTCGCGGCCATCTTCGTCGGCGGTCAAGCTCCGCCCCCGATCGTTTTTGTTTCTTGGATGGAATAAACCACGTTTGATATTCAGAAGTCCGTGAGTGCAGCCTGCTTTGTTTTGTGTACTACATTGAAGGACCCTAAAGACTGGCACCCGGCAAGCCTAATAAGGCATATTGGACTACCTAAGCGTGAGTGCAAGGAATATTCTATTATTTATATATATATATATATATATATATATATATAAATATATATGTATTTTTATATATAATGGACTACTTAGGTTGTGGGCCTAGCCAGTGCCACCGTTAGGCCTACTAGGCATTCGCCTAGGGTGCCGGCTTGCTGGGGGCACCCACCGGGATGTTTCCTGATGGGCTCCTCCTGTCTTGGGCCACAATGCTGGGCGAGCAGCTTTTGAGCTGCCCCCAGCACCGGGCCGATCCTCAAGGTGCCCAAAGGTGGGGGTGCCGAGTGGAGCCCTATCACAGGGGGGCCAGGAGGTGGCCATCTGGCCACCTCAGGGCGCCCCCGATGCTGTGCTACAGTAAGGCCCTCTGTGATGCCGGGAGCCGGAATATGACAACATTCTGGCCCAGGCATACTAAACAGCGGGCGGGAGGAGTGAGAAGCTGCCCCACACTGGACCCCAGGGAGGTGAGTGTTTGACTGTCAGTGAGTGTCTGCCTGTGTGTGTGTATGTGTGTGTGTGTGTGTGTGCCTGTCAGTGAGTGTCTGTGTGTATCTTACAGTGTGTGTGTGTCTGTCAGTGAATGTCGGTCAGTGAGTATCTTTGTGTGAGTGTGTGTGTCTGTCTGTCTGTCAGTGTATGTCTGTCAGTGAGTGTCTGTCAGTGAGTGAATATCTGTCAGTGAGTGTGTGTGTGTGTGTGTGTGTATGTGTGTCAGTTAGTGAGTGTCTGTGTGTGAGTGTCTGTCTTTCAGTGATTGTGAGTGTCTGGGTGTGTGTCTCTCAGTGAGTGTATGTCAGTGAGTGCAGTGGCGTACATACCAGGGTCGCAGGGGTCGCGGCTGCGACCGGGCCCGGCCCACCAGGGGGCCCGGCCGCCCCTGCGACCCGGTATGTAGCCACAGGGCCAGCCTCTTCCCCTGGGGGGCCCAGGAGCCGGCCACCCCAGTGCCACCCCCGGCCACCCCAGCACTCAGTGCTTCCTCTTCAGCTCCCTCGCGCGCCGCGTAGGGATGCCGGCGCCGGAAGATGACGTCATCTTCCGGCTCCGGTATCAGTGCGGCGCGCGAGGGAGCTGAAGAGGAAGCACTGAGTGCTCCCTCGCGCGCCCGCCTGCCCGACCGGCCACCCGCCCAGGAGCCCCACTGGACCCCAGGGAATAATCCCCCCCAGCACTCCAAAAGGTAAGGAGGCTGGGGGGATTATATTTAAAAAAAAAAAAAAAATAGTGTTTGAGTGAGTGTTAGTGAGTGTTAGTGTGTGTGTGAGTGTTAGTGTGTGAGTGTTAGTGTGTGTGAGTGTTAGTGAGTGTGTGAGTGTTAGTGTGTGAGTGTTAGTGTGTGAGTGTTAGTGAGTGTTAGTGAGTGTTAGTGTGTGTGTGAGTGTTAGTGAGTGTTAGTGTGTGTGAGTGTTAGTGTGTGTGTGAGTGTTAGTGTGTGTGTCTGCTAGTGAGTGTTAGTGTGTGTGTGTGTCTGCTAGTGAGTGTCAGTGAGTGTGTTACTGTGTGTGTCTTACTGAGTGTGTGTTAGTGAGTCTGTTTGATGTCTGTTAGTGAGTGTGTGTTTGTTAATGAGAGTGTATGTTTTGTGAGTGTGTATGTATGTCTGTTGCTGAGTGTGTCTCTGTCAGTAAATGTGTGTGTCTGTTAGCTAGTGTGTATGCGTCTGTAAGTGTGTGTGTGTGTATGTATGTCTGTCACTGAGTGTGTCTCTGTTAGCTAGTGTGTATGCGTCTGTAAGTGTGTGTGTGTGTGTCTTCAGCACTTACCTTTCTCCAGCGCCGGACTCCCTTGGCGCTGAGGATCCCTCAGCCTCTCAGCTCCGAATGAGACCGCGCACGCATTCAAACCGCCCATAGGAAAGCATTACTCAATGCTTTCCTATGGATGTTCAGTGTGCTCCTCTAGCTGCTGTCAGTGAGACAGCCACTAGAGGCTGGATTAACCCTCAGTGAAACATAGCAGTTTCTCTGAAACTACTATGTTTTCAGCTGCAGGGTTAAAACTAGAGGGACCTGACACCCAGACAACTTCATTGAGCTGATGTGATCTGGGTGTCTGTAGTGGTCCTTTAAAGGACCACTATAGTGCCAGGAAAACATACTCGTTTTCCTGGCACTATAGTGCTTTGAGGGTGCCCCCACCCTCAGGGGCCCCCTCCCGCCCAGCTCTGGAAAGGGGTAAAACTTACCTTTTTCCAGCGCTGGGCGGAGAGCTCTCCTCCTCCGATCCTCCTCTTCTCCTCCCCGTCGGCTGAATGCGCACGCGCGGCAAGAGCTGCGCGCGCATTCAGCCGGTCACATAGGAAAGCATTCATAATGCTTTCCTATGGACGCTGGCGTGCTCTCACTGTGAAAATCACAGTGAGAAGCACGCAAGCGCCTCTAGCGGCTGTCAATGAGACAGCCACTAGAGGAAATAGGGGAAGGCTTAACCCATTCATAAACATAGCAGTTTCTCTGAAATTGCTATGTTTATGAAAAAATGGGTTAACCCTAGCTGGACCTGGCACCCAGACCACTTCATTAAGCTGAAGTTGTCTGGGTGCCTAGAGTGGTCCTTTAAGTGTGTGTGCATCTGCATGCACTGGCGTACATACCGTGGTCGCAGGTACGCAGCCCTGTAACCCCTGCGACCAGGTGCCCACCGCCATGTGTTGCGGTCCGGCCCGCGCGCGCGGGGGGCCCACGGATCAATTTTCGCACCGGGGCCCCAGGGGTCATGTGTACGCCACTGAGTGAGTGTCTCTGTGTGTGTGTGTGTGTGTGTGTATGTCTGTCAGTGAGTGACTGTATATCCATCAGTGAGTGAGTGTATGTCTGTCAGTAAGTGTCTGTGTGTGTGTGTGTGTGTGCGTTTGTGTCTGTACTTCATTCAAGTAAATCCATACCCTCTAACAGCAGTGTCCGGTGAAGCAAGATTTCAAAGGGCGGGATAAAAGTGTGGGCCACTGATGTGAATCACGTAAACCAGAACTGCCTAAAGGGACAACCCTGTCCAAAAAGGGGGGTGGGGGGTGGTCTGCATGGAGAATTTGATGGTCAGTCTGTTGTGAATGCACATCAGGCTGCCTGCCAATCATGCGGATGACCAACCAAGGACATGCTGTGCAGACAGCACCCTGAGTTTAGCATAAGCCTAAATTTAATACTACAAAATTTATGAAAATAAAAACACTAAACTTGATTTTGGTAGTGAAAGAGGATAAAGAGGCAGTGAATGTAGCTGAAAAACCCTTAAGAAGATAAGTATCTGAGCATTTGTGTAAACCTGTATCTATGAACGTTAGTGTATGTGCATATATGTATGTGTTGCTAAGTAGGTGTGCTGGTTAGTGGTTTGTTGTATATGTGTATGGACAGTTATATATGTTTAAACTTGATTGCTGAATTATTTATGTTTAAGGGGTTAGAGTATGTGCTTCAGTGCTTCACATAGACACAAGGATGTCGGCAGCATTTTGTTTTTGGACCCAGTTCGCAAAATGTGCTGGCCAGTCCTGTACAATAGTGTGCCGCTGCTGTAAGCTGTATCCCCCTTAGGTTGGTGGGGGTAATTGCCCACATTCTTACCCAGTAATATGGATCAAGCTGAGCTTTGATCATCAAACCTTTAAAATTTCCATAGTCAGACAACACTATTGTGAAGAACTATCTGTTTTTCCTTTCATGGGCTGGGGGTGAGGGGGCCAAAGGATCAAATGCCACTTATAGGATGTCTTAGTAAAGTAGCCCCATGTAACAAAAGCACAGCTTAGTGGAAAGGGGACTTGACAGGGGTTAGGAGGCGGGCATAGGAGGAAGCTAATGGGATTGGCTAATGGAGGGTTAAGGGACTGGGCTATATAAGTAGGCAGACATCTTAAAAAAATCACTTTTAACTTGCCTACCTGGCTGAGTTTGTCCCACCCTCCCTCCCTGGGTTTTTGGCCATAGTGGGTTTCCCGTTTTGTCACAGTGGGGGGATAGGGAGCTCTAGGAGAGGTAATAGGCTCCCCAGTAGGAAGGTTATGTTAATGGTTATTGGTATGTTTGGTAGGTTTCGAGTCCTGTCAGTGGCTCAGAACCTGGTGGAGTAGGGGTATCTGGGTATACCCCTACCATGGTTAAATTATAATAAATGGCTGGCACTTTAAGTGATGTTATGTTGGTATAATGTTATATATACATGTTATTTATAGTGGGGTCATTGCCGTTTTTACCTAACGGAAGGATACGGAAACAAGGGCAAGGCATAGGGCAGTGACCCATAAGTTTCTATGTTAAGTTATTATTATTAATATATTTATTAAAGCTGTGGACAATTTTACCCATATACCCTAGTGTCCGTGTTTTATTGGGGTAGGTGTGTGGGGGGTTTGTTCAAGGTTCCGGATGCCCATATGGCGACGATACACCGGTCATGACTTATATACAATTATGCAGGACATATATGTGAGAATGCCCGGGTATATGAGGTTCTTACTGCCACATTCACCCCCACATGTCATTTGCTGGTGTGGAAGAGAGGTCATTGAATCCAATTGAACCCAAGAACCCCATGAAACATAGCTGACTCATAAGTGAAATTTTAATCTTTTGTTGGGGGGGGCTGTCACATTCCCACAACCTCAACACTATAGTTGTGTTAGTCACCCAGCCGATCCCGTCTCCCCCGTCTCTTTACTATATATACACGGACAGTTGTAGTTTAGACTCTTCAT